CAAGATAAACTGAAAACTTCCTCTTCTTTGTCATCCTCGCACCAGCTCTTTAGGCAGAGCCAGGGAAGTAGGATGGTTCTTCATAATGTGCTTTGTCAGCTAGGAGACACAAAGCTTTTTCAGGCTACCATGAGGCACAAATTCTGAAAGTCTCTTTTTCTCCTAAGAGCATCAGTCAGTTTAACTCACTGTCTCCAAGTCTCTAGTATCAAAGGGGACCATAGTGACTGGTGCCTTCTTCCATTAGCACCTGATATTCACAACTGAGGACATGTTTGCAGACATTGGAGTGCCTGTTTTAGCTCTTGTGATGATGACTGGGGGAAGGGAGATCTGTTCCCCTAAGGGAACAAGGATGCAAGCCGCATGGGACAGGGTAGGAGTCCTGCTGCACAGTGTGTTGTCATGTGTTAATAATCCTCCACCAGCAAGTTGAGAGGAAGTTCATTGGGAAAAGATGACTAACCAGAACAAAAACTTGGCTCAAGGCATTACAGGTATATTTCATTTATATATATCAGTGATAAGTTTGATATTATCCAACATGTAGAAGAGCACAGGAGACACAAAGCCTGCCTAAAGGAATTTATGATCCAGGAAGACAAGAACTAAGCAGCAGTTAAAATATATAAAGCAAAACATGACCAGAAGTTGGCATCATAAAACAGAAGTGCAGATATTCCACTGTGGTTTTAATTTGGTAAATCTAGTATTTGTGAGTGCTCATGGCTAACCATATAACCCACAACCCCTCTATCTCCAAATGAAACTTTGGGGCAGCAGTTTAAGGATGTGTACCACTATTAATAAAAAGAGTTCAGCCCTCGATGTAAGCTGCTACAGCACTGGTAGCCCACATGTACGGTCAGCCGAAGGAACCTGAGCTAAAGCGTGCCATTGCAATGGCCTGGGGGCTGGTACCAGGCTGTTACCTTACCAATGGGGGAGCCCAGGGCATTTGTCTTCCCTGGTGGCCTAATTCAAATGCTATCTTAGATACTTATATGCACAAGGTAGAGTTTCATACTTACTCCTTTTGGAAAGTATCTATCTTCTTCTATATTGCTGCATGCTTTGCTAAACAATGCTTTGCTAAGGGAACTTGAAGCTACCTTACTGGGCGCACCTTGGAAATGTAATTAAATGGTAAACTAAGAACCTGTGTATTATGCTGTGCAAATTTGCATTCGTGAAGCACAGTAGGAAAATAATGCCAGCAGCTTCCATTTGTAGACAAATGAATGTAATCTTGGTGTTTTGGGTTTTTTATAAGAAGCTGAAGAGAATAAGAATAAATTAAGCTGACCCACCCTGCATATACAGAAAAGATGTTTTTTCTGCCAGCGTTCAGTTTCCACAACTGGGACAATATGAAAAATAAAATATTGTGTAAGGAACCAAATCTGCTGCTGAATCAGAATGGTCCTTTACTGCCTGAATGACAATCAGTTGACATTCAATTATCATGTTAATTGAATTAAAGCAAGCTAGAAGTGACTTAATTCCGTAAGTATATGCTCCTGTCAAATTACTTATTAAATAATTGTTGCTTGCTTGACGGAGGAGGGGAAAATGACCTTATAAGAGATTTCTGAGATGTTAAAAATAAAATCAAATATTGCCACTATATGCTGTAGATAAGCAACAGAACAGAAGCCTGCTTCTTGTTACAGGAAAAATGTTAAATGTGTTGTTGGAAATGATGTGTTTCATAATTTGGCACTGTCTTAAGCATGAAACTCAAAAGAACTTCAGCCGTTTTCTAGAGCACACTTGAATGATGACAGAAGTCTTTTTCCTCCCCAAAAGCACTGCAAGGATGCAACTCTGTTATACTTACTACAACACAAAACTATTTAAGCCTGAGGGCTAAAAATTCTCACAGCTGCAAAAAAAAAAAAAGAGGTTGGGAGGGGCAGCTGACTTGCTCATGCCTGTCTGAGGTGCTGCTACAAATGCTGACGATGCTCCCCATTTGCCCAGTCTTCATAAGCCCCCAGTACAAGTCCAGTCTAGCACAAAGTCAATGAACTGGTACCCACTGCCAGGGCCACATTCATTTGCCTTCAGAGAAAAATATTGACAGCCAGACCTTGTTGTTACTCATGAAAATTAACAACTCCCCAGACAGGCAGAAGTGACCCTAATTTTTAGTATAAGGCAGAAACCAATCAGAATTTCCAAAACTAGCATGAGGGTCATCAACCCACTTGTATGCTGACCTAAACAGTGGGCATCTTCAAAAGGACAACAGCATATGGACAGCGGGAGCTCAAGCTGTTGTCCTCAGAGGACATGCCAATGCCCTTACAAGGACAAAGCGGAGTGAGCTGACCACGCTCCAGACAAGCCAGCCCAGCCTGTGGGGACCATTCTGGCCAATGCAGGCTGGGGTCATCAAAAACCTTTCCAGATCCATTAAGGACTTTTTTACTAAAATGACCTTCTATTACATGGTTAATGTTTATATTACCATGGAAGACATGGTATTCATGTGACTATTATTGGCTCACCAGAAGATCCAAGAAAAGAGGGCAAGACAATGTGTACATTGAACATGGTAGATGTATAGGTAGGAAATAATTAAGTATCAGCTGTATGATGATTTCCTATGAAGTAGTGATGTTTTAAATGGAGATTTACAGAATTGTTGTTAGCTTCTTATTATTGAGTTAACCTTGTGCAATATGACTATTCGGGGGAAAAGTCAGGTCCCAGAGGACTCTTTCAGTATGCTGTGACTGTAAGAGCACAGCAGGAGTGTATATTTTTTATATTTGTGTAATGCAAAATAAAACCCAATGTCGAAGCAGTAGATACATGATCTTTTGAAGATCATTATTCTGTGTAAAATTCTTTGTTCAGCTCTGTTTTTTAAACTGGCTATCAGAATGATGCAGAGGCATTGCAATATACAAAGCGGTATAACTTAGTCTTTGTTCTGTAGGTCAAGCTAAATTCATTTTAGCAGCTAGGAACAGGTTGTTGACTATTTTTTTATTCATTTTCAAAACAAATGTACATTTCCCTAATAATCACAAGCGATTACAACTTAAAAAGCAAATTGATACTATTTTTTTTTGCAAAACAATAGGCGATCAGCCAACACTATATATTTATCTTAATCTGGAGAAATTACAAGGGTGCACACATACAGTTGCACAGCTAAAACCAATCTTTTTTCCTCTCTGTCTTTATATTTACAATTTTAGAAGCCTAAGACTTCTCTGTTTCCATTATGATCTTTTGCTTCCCTGGGAAGCAAAATCTTTAATCCTTTTAGGCAGCCTCTGAGTTTTGCCAGCCCTTATCTGAGGTTTGTTCTGTCTCCGAAAGCAAAGCCTCAGTGAAACAAATAAATGTTTTCACGAGCACATTCTTTATAAAAATGGTGTTGTACTGGATCCTTCCAGCCTGACACTACCACTCTCACTTTGTAGTCTGCAACTGGATTGTTCTCTGTGTGTGCACTCTGTGCTGCCAAGTCCTCTCCATTACGGGACTTCTGGTTTTACTAGAGCATTGGAAGATCAAAAGAGATCACTTTAAAGTTTCATAAAGTTTATCCTTCTGGGGAGGAGATGTACGCGTGTGTTTTTCAGCTGTGGAATTCAGGAGAACACCCCAAAATGGTCATAAACAGCTTTGCCCATCTTTTACCTTTGAATCAATAGCCCAGTTAACTAGGCAGCGTGGAGTGGGAGGGGGAAGGTGGATAGTCTGTACTCTCTTCGTGGAGGCTTTCCGCAGGTGCCCAGGTTCTGCACTTGGCTGGAGAAGTGGACAGCAGAGACTCAAAGCTGCAGCACCACTTTGTGTAATATTGTGAATCCTAAATGCCCATGAGCATATGAATTATTCTCTGCCCTGGGCATGTGACTTAAAAATTGTGAAATACAACAGCAATAAAAAAAGTAAATTTACCTTCCCTTTATTTGTCTCCCTTACTTTTAAACCTTCCATTTGGATGCTTTTTAAGCTTTTCCCTGCAACATGGAAGGCTAGGAGTCAATCCTGCTTAGTTACATGAAGCCAAGATGCTTGCATGGCTCCTAAGTCTACCCTTTTAGAAAAAAAAAACCAAAACAAAACATGAAGTGGTGAGAAACTCATGATAATATTTGCAAAGAGAAATGCTGACTTGTTCCCGAATCTGTCACTGACATGGCTAACAGCAAGTCATTAGCTAGGCTCCACGGGTCAGAAACTGGTTCTCCTCCTGAAAACTTTCACCCCTAAATAACTACGTATGCTTTTCTAACATCATGTTACTGTAGCGCTATGAGGTCCTGCCTAACCCTGCAGATAATCTTTGATCTTGAAATTTGGGCAAAACTGAAGTGATTCTCCAAGCTCTTTAATCTATTATGAGATTGTGCACATGCCGCATTTAAAATAATTTGGTGAGTTGAGAGAAATGTACAGAAATAGATCCATGCTCCTGAGAAGTTAATTAGACCGATATGGGATCAAGACTGGAATAATGACTAACATGATTTATTATCCTTAGCAGCTCCATGAAGCTTCTTTGGCTGCCCCCAACAGTTTATCCGGGGAAGAGAGAAAGCCTCTTGGCTGATCTGTGTGGTGCTGTCATCTCCTTCTTCATTTAGCTCAAATGTCTTTCTGCACATTCTCATCTTCCCCAGAGGGTTTTAACTCATCTCACAAGTGGAAGCCAGTGGAGAGGCCCACGCCTGCCTTCCCCCACCCCTAAAGATCCCGTTTGCAAGTACGCCCCGCGCTTCACTTTGAACAATTAAACCTGAGATGCGATGAGGGATGTTGTTTTTTCAGTACTCCTGGGTAGTTAAAGGGTGTTTCACAGTTGGAACAATATTTTCTTTAAAATATTTAATGTTTATTATTTCACTCTTTAAGCAATATGAGGAGGAAACGCTGTTTACTTAGAAAGACTTTATGAAGATGCATGAGACACACCGGTGATATATAAAAACAAAACCAGATTAATTTACCAATGTGACACTCTTTGTTTTTAGGTATACAAAAAGAAAACTGAAGCTGCCAAGAAGGAATATCTGAAGCAGTTAGCTGCCTACAGAGCAAGCCTTGTATCCAAGGTAACATATAATGTATATACATACACACACATATATAGTGACATATTGCAAACCATTTTCAGCATTTATATGGTGCTGAGTACCATAGTATTTAGTGCAAATAGCCTTGTTTGTTATCACCTTAAACTTAGGTTTAAGGTGCAAATGCTCAATAAACACAGTCACATCTCCATGAAAAGATAGTCTTTCCCTTCTGGTCATAGAGATAGCACTTCCCCAGGATGGGAGTATCATCGCAGTTCAACAGAGGAACGAGGTACCGGTAAAAAGACCCTAATATAACAAACATGCCGTGCCAGGCAGTTACCGTTATACCTACAAAGAAAAAAACCATACCATTACACAAAATGCTTGGGTTTGGGTTTGGGTTTTTTTAAGTACTGCTTTTTACCTTGCAATCACAGTACAGAAAAAGTCAAGCTTAGCTCACATAGCAAATTTTCATAAGAAAATGTAAATTTCCATTTTACATCCAGCAAGCAATTTGTGTGAGCGCAGCATAGATCACCATAAGGCTCTTCTAGTGGAACACACCAGTGTATCCCCAGTACACAGCTAGTAGCAATTTTCTAAACTGATTTGTACAAACATTCTAGTGCCCATAATTTTGTAATAGACGCTTTAAAATTTGTAATAGACTTTAAAATATGCAGAAGAATGTGAAATTACTGCACTGTGTCAATGTGAAAAACCAGCTGAGCAACTTCAGAATCATATCAGTTAGAATAACTTGGTTTGGGTCTGTCAAAACAAATTTAGATATATTTTGTTCTTACATAAATAAAATTAATTTTAGAGGTAAAGATGGCAGTATGAAGGACTGGCATATATGACATGAGTAGAACTTTTTGTTAGTTTTAAATGTTTTTGGGGTCCTGAACTATATTTCTCTGTATATTACGTTAATTTGTACACAGTTTCAGGGGAAGACTATATGATTGGCCATACAAGGACCTTTCATGCATCTGTCTATGTTATCTTAGTATTTGGTCAGTGTTTGTTCTGAATTGAAAAGCCTGAAATACGGGTGTTACCTCATTCATTTCTGGGGATTGTGTCTTACGCATTTTAATTTTATAGCTACCATCATAAATACTAATGCATTTAGTTAAAGTGATTTACAGGGTACCTTTAATTTCTGTCTTAGTTCTGTCTTAGCTGTTTGGTTCTAGAAATACTTATTGCCTTCAGAAAGGGTACCACATGCACACAAAAAAAATTTTTTTTAAATAGCCTGCTGATTGGCAAAAGGTAGGTCTAAAAAGCTCAAAATAGAATCATAGAATCATAGA